GTCTGGCCAATTTGGGTCACATTCCCAACAGTCATCTATTGGGTTTTCGGTTAGGCATGAAGAGTCCTAGTATTTTTGGGTTCCTTGCAGCATTTGCCTTCTTGCCAAAGAAGCATAAACCTTCCTGAAAAATAAAGGGAAAAAAGAAGTAAAGATTGATAACTCAGATCTACAAAAGGCTGAGAAACAGAAGAAAACAGTGAAAAAAAAAACAGAGGAGGTAATTAAAGCTATGTATTTTACCTATGAACTTCTTGAACAACAACTTCCGGGTTGGGATGTTGGCCAGGAAGAGTGAGGTTGAGGAATGCTGTGGCGAGAGAAGAAAATGAGCAGAGAAGAAAGAGCAGGGCAATGCAGGTAATACAACAAATTTTACAGCTTGCTATACAATTGCAATACTATATCAAGAGAATGTGGTTCCACCCTTTTATAATAAAGGGCTGTATTGCTATACAATTGCAATACTATATCAAGAGAATGTGGTTCCACCCTTTTATAATCAAGGGCTGTATATGCTATAGAAAGCTAGTCTGTCTGAGCTGTATGTGAAAATGACATAACATGATTTTCAGTAATTGACAGTAATCAAGAACCTTATGCATCTTCAAGGTCAAAGAGAGACTCCAAAAAGGGAATGCAAGATAAGTACAAACAGAAAAAAAAAAAAAAAAAAATTCAGCCACACAGACATCAATTACCAGATTGATGAGCAGCATATTGATTACTCCAGTTCTTTTTCCTTAGATCTTCCTCCCTGTAAAAACAAACCAAACTCAATTTCTGATTTCCTTCTCAATTTTCGATATGGAAAATGAATAAACCAACCTAGAAAACCAAAAGAATGTTAAAACCAACCTTTTTTTTCGAAACCTAGAAATCCCTTTGAGCTAAACCCGTGCGATGAGAAGAAGGATGAAGCGCAGCTGGAAAGATGGCTGAACAAACGAAGCAGATGAGATAAGATGAATTAGCAAGGGTAGAGAAATCTGAGAATAAGCTATGCATGCTTACCTTGAAAGTACCCATGTCTGAGAATTAGAGAAAGAGATTGAAACAGAGAGAGAGCTGGAGTTCGATATGAAGAAGAAGACCAATGCACACCACTCCTATAAAAATCGAAGCCTCCAGATAATCTCCAACAGTAAACCGACCTCTTCCATCATTGCCCCGCAACCAGGCCAACCAACCTGGTTAGAAACGAACTCAGCATCAGATAGAACGAAGGCTCCAAGTCGTTACAATCGAAGGAGAGGGGGGGCAAAACGGGGAAGAGCAGAAACTAATTAATCAAGGGCAAACCGTGATTTCACTGTGCTGATGAGAAAAATGAGTTTGCAAAACAGTAAAAAGAGAGGGCATTTCCGTCATTTCACTGTGCTTAGAAACAGTGTTTAGTTGCATTGCGCTTTAGTATATATATAATTTGTCACTTATCAAAGAAGACACTTTAAATATATCACCTCATGTTACAATTTTGTTGTAATAATGTGCCACCTATTATCTAATTCCCATATTTTTTTTTTTTGTTCAAAAATTTGTACGTGATTTGCAAGTAACCATTTCAAAGGATATTTTGATACCCAAAATATATTTACATACGCTCACGTGTGAAGCACATGCAACTTTTTTAGACGAAAGAATGGATGCACTAAAGTCGTAGATTTGAATTGAGGTGACACATTGCTTCAACTTTTTTTCAAATGGTAAGAAGTCCTAATTAAAGTTGAAGTGCACAATTTTATTTGGTAAGTTGTAACCAACACGCTGCATATAAATATCCACTAATCTAATTTTGTTTTCTTATGCTAATTTTATCTTATTATTTTACTTGCTTAGATTCTTTTTACGTCGGCCAGTGTTGCAAACAGTTGTAAGTGAAGTGAGAGCACCTATAAGCTCTGATGAGGATTAAGAGGACTACAAGTAAATCTAAAGGGAAGACAACAAGAGGAGTAGAAGGAATTAAGGAGACTTGTTCATCTTCATCAGCAGAAAAAGATGTTATAGTAGAAAACTAGGTGCTTGAATAATGCTGATTGATTATGCTTAAACATAGATCAGTCAGAGGACCCATATTTTCATGTCCCAACTCAAATGGGCAGACAGGGAAAGGAAGAAAAAAAAAGTGTCACATGGTTGGTTGAATTGAGGCAAGATATTCACATGGATCATATTGCAGAAAATATAGATAAACACTACAACAATAATGGGCAAAGCCCACACTAACAGACGACGGATTACGATTCTTTGACTTAAAACTATAAGCAAAGCTCTGATTGAGTAGTTCGAGGGAAAAACCAAGTGAAATTGTGATCAAGTTTCCTTCAATCATGATAATTTGCTTACTATGAGGGCCTCCATATAGTGCAGTGTGACAATGTTCAGTGGGGAGAGCTAGAATCAGTAGGGTTAGGTGAAGTCTCTGTTGGTGTCAGTGTTAAGTAAGGTGAAAATAATGCACAGTAAACATTTAATTTTCTCTAATCAGAAACAGTAAAAATTTAATTTTTCTCCAATCAGAAACAGTAAAAGGGCCTTCCACTGAGGTAATTGTACAATCTTTGTAATGGAGAGTTGAGTTGGTGAGGCTTAGGGTTAGTTGAAGAAAACCTCATGTGTGGTCCTTTTTTTGTTGTTCAAAACCCAACCACAATCAAAGAAAGAATCAATTCTTTGCCAAGTGATTAAAAATTACTCTTGACAGCAAATTGATTGTGGGAAAGTGATGGTCATTTATGATAAACATGAACCTGCAGAAAACATGTATATGCAGTGGGATGTAGACTGCTATACTTTTCTATTGCTCGACTTTTTGAATTGAACAGTGGCAAAAGTCTACATTGTTAATAATGCAAGCTTAGTAGGGACAATTTATAATGGGAATTGGGATTTTGATGTTAAAGAAAAATTTGGATTAATTTCTAATTTCCATCACAGTCAGTGGCATATGAAGTAGTTCCCAGATAGTGTGACTGGAATCTAATCAACCCTTCAGCTAAAACAGCATTTTATTGGGCTGTCAAGGCAGAAATCATGAAGTCATGTTCAGTTTTAGTTGGGTTGCTTTAAAATTTTGCCCAAAAATTATCAAGTGACTCAGAAAGTTGGAAAAAAAAGGGTTTATCAGAAATCATGAGTGCATTGTTGAAGTGTACATCAAGCTTTTCAAAGATTTGTTGTTAAATATATATATATATATACGTATATAATTCTTGAGTCTCAGAGACCAGTAACTTTTTTTTGGGTTATTTTCATATAAAGATTTGAAAGGGTCATGTCATGTTGGGGTTTCGTGTGAAGTTTGTTTATAGAAGTGACCATATATAGAATGACAGTAATTGACTGCTACTTAGGGCAAAGGAAAAAAAAAGGTTGATATGGGCAATGTCTATTCTCCGACAGAGAGGATGATGTGCTAGTTCAATCATTTAACATGATAAAGGAAAAATTAATTAGTTTTAATTTTTTTAATAATTAAATTCTATATATTGATTTGAATATTATAGCCATTACGTACCCTGCCATTACAGGTATAATGACTTTCCTTTTTCTTCTACTTTCTCACAAACCAAACAGAAAATCTGATTGTAAACTACAGAAATCACCAAGAAGAATCCTCTAAGTTGCAGAGATGAGAGAGATTCTTTCAAGGCAAAGTTACTTTAGGTGCAGTAAAATTGATGTAAAGGTGTTAGTTGACTTAAGCTTTTATACCATGTTTTACCCAATTGTGAATTTTTGAGGCTTAGAGTAATGTAAAGTAGATCAACCTTTGAAAGAAAAAGTTGTGCGGCTGTGTTAATTGAACATGAGTCAGGAAAGCTTGAAAAAGTAAATATCTGAGATACAGACCTACATATGCCAGCAGATTAACAGTTCCTTAAAGTTAAAAAGTAAAGACTAGATTCTTATCCATAAGGTAACTTTGATCTTTTTCTTTACTGTGAGAAATTTAAAGCATCTCAACTTACAGAAAAGCTCATCATTATTTGACTTGCCCTGGGAATAGAGGGAGAGAGAGAGCCAAGGAATAGTGTGATAATGTCAACTAATACCTACTCTGTAACATGGGGAAAAAAACTAACACCTACTGAATTGGAAAGTTTGACCTAAAAAAATATGGAAAGGATCATTTCCAAAGTCAGCCAAATTCTAAGTCTAGATGGGTCAGAAAGATGAGACTAGGAATGATTTGATTCTGTTCAAACCCAAAGATCACATTCACATACAAACCCATAAATGGATTGTGCAGCTATAGCCCAAACTATTTTCTCCACAAATATACTGCCTTGTGAATTCTTCTTCCCTTGATGATTGATTATTAGCCCTGAACTGTGTAACCTTAAACCCTCTGTATAATTTAAGGCCACCAAAATTTGATCATGTGTGTTTCTATATCCATTACCAGTGATATAAATCATCAGTCACAAAGATTATAACTAGCCACAAGAATCAGAATCTTATATATTATCAAGTGTGGTATGATTCAGTAGAATTTATCCCACAGTTCACAAATCTAAAAGGAAGCACTATTTCCACAACCAAGAGGCTTTGTTTGCAAACCCAACTACAGTGCTAAGTGCGTGCATCAACTTATAGTCATTTGGGGCAAGTACCCCAATCTGAATTCATTACATCAAATCCAATGGGCTAATATAAAAAACTTGCACAAACTACTGTTTTGCTGATTTTTCAGACTACATTTGGTTTTTGGAACAATTTCAGACTTGACATTAGGACTAACTATTCAATCTTTGGACCAACTGGATTAATACAAAAAGAACTGAGCTTTGTAATTTATAAGTATATTAGTAATGAGATACTGTATTTTCAGGTATTCTGTGAAACACAATATTTGTCTCCTAATTGTGGAGCCAACAAAAGTTTTAACTAAAACACATCTTTTCCAAGTCAAATATCAATAGTTACAAAATATACCAATCCTAATTAAGTTGCTAGTAACATTAGAGAGTTAGCAGACAGAAATTTAAGTCCCCTCAAAGACCCAACCTTAAATCCAAAGTGAGGCCTGAAGAAGAGGATTGAGCATCTTCAATATGAGAAGCTGCAGGCAAATTCAAATCCAATCCACCAGAATGGCCTTCCTTTGAAATCCCACTAGGCTGCTGGTGCTGCTGACTTAGCCCTAATTGGGTCATCATCATGGATGATGATGATGGCTCATCCCCTTTGTCCCAATGACACCTCATGTGCCCTCCCAAAGCTTGACCACTTGAAAAAACCCTCCAACAAACACTACACTTGTGCCCTGATCCTCCCAACACCATAACCATCTTATTATTCTCCTCCATCACATCATCATCCCCATCATCCCGTTCACCATCACCATTGTGATGATGATCCTGATCAACCTCACCATCACTCCTTGTAATTGCAAAACAGCCCTTCACATTCTTGTGGCTTGCCCTGTGGCCCCCCAAAGCCTGGTGGGACCCAAATACTTTCTTGCAACTTGAACACTCAAACCTCCCATTACCACCATCAAACACCTCTTGAGCACCCTGAAAAGTACTTGTACTAATACTCTGAGTAGTGATCTCATTACTTGCCCCATTAGTGCACCCACTAGCAAGCATTATCAAACTCGAGGCCGCCTCGTGGTCTGCTTCCCCCATTGCCCATTCCACACTCAACGGCGCGTTCGGGGAAACGGGTCGTCGTAAGTTGGGTGGCGGGTCGATGCCGCGCCACTGCCGCTCAGGGTGGCAACGCATGTGCCCAAACAGAGCCTTCCATGACCAAAACTTCTTCCCACACTCACTACAGGGCTTTGTGATCTTTGGCGCAGATGGGTCGGGTTTTTTGGCATACTTGGGCCTTGAAATCCTACTTGGAGCAACTGGGTTGTCGAGTCTGATCAGTTTCGAGCGTTTTTTCCTAGGATTTTGGTGGGTTTTATCGTCCCCAACAAAATAAGTGGAAGAAGAAGAAGCAGCAGCGAAAGCGGTGGAGGGGGTGGCGGTGGTGGAAACGACGAGGTCTTGGTGGGTTGTGGGGAATCGGAAATCCAGGTCGGGAGAGTTGTTCATTGAAGCTTTTCTCTGATTTTGGCAAGAAAGACAAAAAAATTGGGGGAGGACGAAAAAAGTCGAACAGTTGGTGTAGGTTTGGATTTTGTAGGGCAGGAAAGCAGTTACTTTGGACTCATCTTGAATTGGCAGTTATAAACAGTTAGTGTGGTTCCTATCCGTACAGTTCAAACCCACTATCCCATAATGTATATATTTTTTTGGGTATTTATTTCTTTTCTTCATCCACAAGCACATTGCGTGTGCATCAAGGTGGCAAGCAAAAAAAAAAAAAAAAAAACTGGCAATGAGCAGCTTTTTTTTAAAAAAATATATA